GTGAATTGCCACACAGTGAACACACTGTGAAATCACCGTGGATTGGCCACAGTGTCTGTTCACACCGAGAACACACTGTGAACACAGTGTGGTCATTCCACAGTGTGAATTGTCACTCTGTGAACACACTGTGAAATCACCGTGGATTGTCCACAGTGTCTGTTCACACCGAGAACACACTGTGAACACACTGTGGTCATTCCACAGTGTGAATTGCCACTCTGTGAACACACTGTGAATTCACCGTGGATTGTCCACAGTGTCTGTTCACACCGAGAACACACTGTGAACACAGTGTGGTCATTCCACAGTGTGAATTGTCACTCTTTGAACACACTGTGAAATCACCGTGGATTGTCCACAGTGTCTGTTCACACCGAGAACACACTGTGAACACAGTGTGGTCATTCCACAGTGTGAATTGCCACTCTTTGAACACACTGTGAAATCACCGTGGATTGGCCACAGAGTCTGTTCACACCGAGAACACACTGTGAACACAGTGTGGTCATTCCACAGTGTGAATTGTCACTCTTTGAACACACTGTGAAATCACCGTAGATTGTCCACAGTGTCTGTTCACACCGAGAACACACTGTGAACACACTGTGGTCATTCCACAGTGTGAATTGCCACTCTGTGAACACACTGTGAATTCACCGTGGATTGTCCACAGTGTCTGTTCACACCGAGAACACACTGTGAACACAGTGTGGTCAATCCACAGTGTGAATTGTCACTCTTTGAACACACTGTGAAATCACCGTAGATTGTCCACAGTGTCTGTTCACACCGAGAACACACTGTGAACACACTGTGGTCATTCCACAGTGTGAATTGCCACTCTGTGAACACACTGTGAAATCGTGGAGTATTTGACCACACAGAAAACACAGCGAGATCACACTGTGTTCACACGGTGACCATTTCACATTGTGACATCTCCCAGACTATGAAAACTGTGTGAATGATGTGTGATTTGAACATAGTTGGTCCACATAGAAAACACACTGAGATCACACTGTGTTCACACGGTGACCATTTCACATTGTGACCATTTCCAGACTATGAGAACTGTGTGAATGGTGTGTGATTTGAACATAGTTGGTCCACACAAAAAACACACTGAGATCACACTGTGTTCACATGGTGACCATTTCACATTGTGACCATTTCCAGACTATGAAAACTGTGTGAATGATGTGTGATTTGAACATAGTTGGTCCAAATAGAAAACACAATGAGATCACACTGTGTTCACACGGTGACCATTTCCAGACTATGAGAACTGTGTGAATGGTGTGTGATTTGAACATAGTTACACAGAAAACAGGCGAGATCACACTGTGTTCACACGGTGACCATTTCACATTGTGACCACTCCCTGACTATGAAAACTGTGTGAATGATGTGTGATTTGAACATAATTGGTCCACACACTGTGACAGGTTCACACTGTGAACGGCCACTGTGTGAACACACTGTAGACTCTTTGTGATTTTGTCACAGTGTTGGTCCACATTTAGAGCACACTGTGAACACACTGTGACAGGTTCAGACTGTGAACCGTCACTGTGTGATAACACTGTGAACTCACCGTGTATAATTTCACAGTGCTGGTCCACTGAGAACACTGTGAAAACACTGTGACATTTTCACATTGTAAACCGCCACTGTGCGAACACACGGTGGACTCGCCGTGACTTTAAATTACATTGAAACAAAATTCTATGTTGAGAATTGCTGCTGTCGCACCAGAATCCGCTTTCGATATTTTTTTGAAAAATGTTTATATTTATTTAAAAACATTCTTTGTTTTTAATGCATCATGAAATTGCGTAACCCTCACGGTTAATTTTTGTCAGTTGTGGAATGTTGTATCGACATACATACATGTTATATTTCGAAGTGCAAACATCGTGTCAGGAAAAATAATAACTTGTTGCCTTTTTACAGAAACATCTATCAAAAGCCGCGAGTTTGTGTGCATGCATGCCAAAACAGTGACGCTAACCAATCATATGACGCGTAATTTGCAACAGCATCCTAGGTTGTAACGCGCTGGCCAATCAGAGTACGCTCTTTGAATTTACAATCGCGCGCCAGGCCTGACGACCGTTGACCTTGCTTCGCCAACCGCCATAACAGTACTGCTGCATGTGTCATGTGTGTTCCAGCAACGTGCAATCGCCGTCGTTTTACTGAAATATCAGGTAAGATTTTGCCATGAAACTTCGTTGTTATTGTTATGATGTGTCTTAGACAAACCTGGATTTAATTCGCAGCATTTTTCTGATTAATTTCATTCGATTTCTCCGCTAAACGATAGACAAAATATTGACACATGTACGTACACGTACTGTACATGTACACACACAGAATCACGCACGCAGTAGGCTATACATGTATGCAACATACTCAACAGACGGGTGCCTCGAAAGGGTTCGTGTCATTTGAAATGCTGTGGAGTCTGGGTACAGTGCGATAACCATCGCGTATAGTAGTAACAAGCTGGTTTACCCGATCATAGATCGGGTAGGGCGTAGTGTTGGGGATGAAAATGTGGGGAGTTAAATGTAAATGGGGGATATAGTTGGGGAGACATGCAGTTAAAGAATAGCAATTTCTGTGGTGTGATCTGAGGCAATTTCTGATCACTAAAACCAATTTGAGCAAAAGATCATCTGTGAAAGTTTTGAGTTTTGAGTAATTGAATCAGCTACATGTATTCTGAGCAATAGAATGATTATTGTTTGGCTACAATATTTTTATTCGGGGAAGAAAAAGTGTGTGGGGGGGGGGGGGGGGGAGACCAAACAATGTCCCCCCTCAAAATGTGTGTGTGTGTGTGTGGGGGGGGGGGGTCCCCTGTCCCCCGTCGATGTACGCACATGATAATTATGTACCATGGCAACTGTCTGTAAATGTTGCCGTTGGTCTGTTAAATTGGCTTTTTGTGAGGCAGTTGCATTTGGAAAACGTAGTGAAAAGGTTACTGTAGTACACAGGCGAAGGCTGGTTGTAGAGTTTGACAATAAATCATAATGCAATAAAACGTGAAGGTGTCATTTAAAATGAAAATGTTGAGTGTTACCAAAAAATTACAAACGGTCTGAATCATGGAGGAAGGTCATAATTAAGTTTCAGTATTGGACTCTTCAACAAACGTAAACTTGAACTTCTTACAATTTGCGAGACTGTCTGCGATGCAACTTTTATTCAAGTTGGTTCAACCATCTATATATAAGAGAGAGTTTAACTCGGCCTCCGAGACGATGTTTGCTCATGAAAGGATCCGAGACCGCGGCGATCCTTCGTTGACCCAAAACAGGCCCCCGAAATTATAACACGACACTGAATTATACGTGGCGGGCAGCGAACTCACAACGCTCAGCCTTGAAGCATGGAGCTGTAAACACATTATGGAAGCAGCAGCACTCTATCACGTCACATGCTTGCCCTTCAAATAGCGAGCACCGTAGACCCAACCTCGTTTCCAGGGTGTGGAGCAGGCTGCAGTACGCGTTGCCGTCGACAGTTTTGCATAGCCCGGAAATACTACGCAGTGTAGACTTTCGATTGGTCAGACCGCGCAAGGCATACTTAATGTGTAGTCCTTCTGAGTATTCGTTGCACTCGGCGCAGGGGCGGCAAGCGAAGCATATGAAAGAATAGGGGCACTTGGTGGCCACGCACCATGGAGAAAAAATATTTTACCAAGGTCACCCCATCCACAATTTGGTGAACGCTTTTTCAGAAGGGCCGAGTAGAACACGTAAACGGAACCCCTACGTTGACCTCGCTGACCTCGCACAGTCTAGACTCGCAGAAAAGCCAGCACGTGGGGCGGACAGGCAGTCAACGTGAAAGCGCATACGACGGCAAATTCCTGCGCAAAATGCAGTCACGAAAAATCGACGAAACGGATCGCCGGTCCGTACGGGAAAATCAGGACGACCCGAAGCGTCCGACCCGGCGGAAGACACTCTCCGCATTTTTCCACGGACGTGGAGCGATTTTGGCGCCGCGTGAGCCCGCGGTCTCGGATCCTTTCATGAGCAAACATCGTCTCGGGGGCGAGTTAACTTCTCTCTTATATATATAGATACTAGTATGTACATGTAGCTGTCGTGAATTTGGTGGTTTTATTCCTCCATGCTGAGAGTATCCGGACATAGTACATCATACATGTACATGTATTTCTCGTCATTTTCTCTGCAAGTAGCCTACTGCATGTAGCACTATATTGTGCCTAAAGTTTAATAGTAAGTAAAGACTAAAGTTCTTGTTTTTTTTAATTCTGGAAGCTTAGACATGTTAGAGTCCAGTATGTGGCAAAACAGTTGCGGCAGGGCTATACGCAAGCACATGTTCACTTTTCCTCGACACTATCCTGACTAGCCCTACATCCAAACATGACCCAAACTTATGGACATTTCTGAGTACTGCTGTAGAAGTATAATTAGTTACATTGTGGCTATCGTTACGGCAGCTGTGACGTGACTTTCAACTAGCATGACTGCTAAGTGCTATCGTTACAGAACTGACTGGTTCTCTGCATAATAGCATTCAACGTCCGATCTTGAAGAATATTGGGCATCTGTAAATCTGATATTCGTTTGCATTGTTTTTACAGGGCCGTAACAGGAGTATTACAAATAATACATGAAGTTTTTGAAAATGGCGTTACAGCTGTCGTAACGATAGCCACTTTGATAATATTATAACAACTTGCGTTTACGTTTGTTTTGTTTGGTTTACCCATGCTTACAGTCTGCCTTTATCTTTTTTTCCCGATGCCTTGAACTTTATCTGTTGTGGATTTGTTTAAACTTGTACCACCATGTTTACATCCTTCTTGTCATGTTTGATCTTGAGAATAAGAGATTTTTTTCTCATCCAAGACCAATGGGCTCATGACCAAGTGGTTGAAGACAGTTCATCAATGATGGCCAGAGTCAGAGTGGAACCTGAAGACAGCAGGTGACGGGACAAATATGTCTTTTCAATTAAAACAGGTACATATACATGTACATGTATTTAAGTCTGTCAGATTTAAACATTTTTGCAGATTGTTCTGGTTTTAATGTAAATTCTGAACCCCCTCAAAAAAAATATACTGGTGTAATGTTCGCCTGTAAAATAAATTGTTGTTGTGGCACACACAGGATCTGCCCCTATGTTTCGTGTGAAAAGGAAAAGGACATTAGCAGGCCAGGCACGGCAATCGAGTTGAAAGTTTTGTGCTGCCATTTTTTGATTAAAAATCACTTGTAATTGAAATTTTGAAGGATGACATTTGTCGATAATTAGAATAATTTTGGACATTTTTAGGTCAAAATATTACTTATTTGTAAAGACATTTCAAAGTTAATGCTAAAGTCTTTTTACCGGGAACTTCCCATTCCTGAAACGTGCGCTTCTGCTGCATGTGAAATCCTTACGTCCTTTTGCCGGGAACAAAATTGGCCTTGCGTACATCAGTATTACATAAACATCCTTTTGCCGGGCAGTAATATTAAAAATCCTCCTTCCATCCTTTGTTTACTGTTAATTACCTCAAATGACGTAGCTCCTCAAGACAATATATATATCAAATGACACATATTCCCAAGCTCTATTGATTATCCGAAACATCTGAATTTGACCTTTGACCCATTTCTTGCCCTTACGACCTTCTTCCAGGCCCCCGACTGGGGATTGTTTTGAATTAATACAAAATAAATTATAAGTATGTTGGATTTGTCTTTTATAGCGAGTATCCAAGAAACTTCAGAATGACAAGGTGATGGATGTTGCTGGTTGCTGTTTGTTGCATCTCCTGCCAAGTTTGCGCCAGAAAGGAGACGTGATGGAGGGACACGCCTGGGACCCATTCACCTTCATCTTAAGTCTTACCGTTGTACGGTCATTACTTAAAATACAACAGTATCAAATATTTTAATACACGTATCTGAATAATTGATCAATGTTCTCTTCTAGGGTGACTGTTATTTTTCTATAAGTGTTCAACAGGGAAAAGTTCTCAAGTTATGGAAACTCAACTACTGTCTTTAAGGTAGAATGGACCATTTTCCTTTACATGTTTGAAATGTTTCATTTGAAGCAACAGAAGTGCTTACGAATCTAAAGATTGGAACTTAAAATCAATCTCATACAGTTTTAGTTCAGTGAATGCTTTATTTAGCGGAGAACACATTTTCTTGATCTTGATTTAGTCAAAGTTTGTTAATGCATGAGTGCCTAATTCTCGCTCAGCCACCAAACCGATGACTAATGGCAACGAAACTAATGTTTTGCAAATGCAACCCCAAAACAAGTTTGGGTCGGGTCAGGTTGTTCATTTCAGTAGGGTCGGTGTTGGTTTTGCATTTGCGATTTTCAGGTCAGTTATTGTACAAAGCCAAAATAATTGGGGGGAAAAACCCAGAAACAGTTCGGATATTCGCACGGTTCAGTCATTTTATTGCAGAGTCTTTGTGCTGGGTACAACCAACTGTGGTTTATAGTCTATCGTGTGCTGTTAGTATTCACTGTACCTTATGGTTCGTTACAATTATTTATACATGTATTTAAACCAAGTTCAAAATTTTACGCAATAAATATTTCTTTAAAACATGCATAATGGAAACTTTCTGTTGTGAACTGTATTTAATTGTGATCTCTATTATGGTCACCCTGTGCGGACACTGTGATCACTATATGGTCACACTGTGCGCACACTGTGATCACTATATGGTCACACTGTGTGGACACTGTGATCACTATATGGTCACACTGTGAACACTATATGGTCACACTGTGTGGACACTGTGATCACTATATGGTCACCCTGTGCGGACACTGTGATCACTATATGGTCACACTGTGCGCACACTGTGATCACTATATGGTCACACTGTGTGGACACTGTGATCCCTATATGGTCACACTGTGTGGACACTGTGATCTCTATATGGTCACACTGTGTGGACACTGTGATCACTATATGGTCACACTGTGCGCACACTGTGATCACTATATGGTCACACTGTGTGGACACTGTGATCAATATATGGTCACACTGTGTGGACACTGTGATCTCTATATGGTCACACTGTGTGGACACTGTGATCACTATATGGTCACACTGTGTGGACACTGTGATCACTATATGATCACACTGTGGGGACACTGTGATCACTATATGGTCACACTGTGTGGACACTGTGATCACTATATGGTCACACTGCGCACACTGTGATCACTCTATGGTCACACTGTGTGGACACTGTGATCTCTATATGGTCACACTGTGCGGACACTATGATTACTATATGGTCACACTGTGTGGACACTGTGATCACTATATGGTCACACTGTGCGCACACTGTGATCACTATATGGTCACACTGTGTGGACACTGTGATAACTACATGGTCACCCTGTGGGGACACTATGATTACTATATGGTCACACTGTGCGGACACTGTGATCACTATATGGTCACACTGTGTGGACACTGTGATCACTATATGGTCACACTGTGCGGACACTGTGAACACTATATGGTCACACTGTGCGGACACTGTGATCACTATATGGTCACACTGTGTGTACACTGTGATCACTATATGGTCACTCTGTGTGGACACTATGATCTCTATATGGTCACACTGTGCGGACACTGTGATCACTATATGGTCACTCTGTGGACACTGTGATCACTATATGGTCACTGTGTGGACACTGTGATGACTATATGGTCACACTGTGCAGACACTGTGATCACTATATGGTCACACTGTGTGTACACTGTGATCTCTATATGGTCACACTGTGCGGACGCTGTGATCACTATATGGTCACACTGTGCAGCCACTGTGATCTCTAAATTGTCACACAGTGTGGACACTGTGATCTCTATATGTTCACATAGTGTGCACACAGTGTGAACACTATGAACTCTATATGTTTACATAGTGTGCACACATTGTGAACACTGTGATCTCTATTTGTTCCAAATTCACAGTGTCGCACTCAGAGAACACAGTGTGATCACAGTGTGACCACTGAGTGGTATACACCATATGTACACTATGTGAACACACTGTGTTCACACAGTCATGACACTATGAATTTGTTCCAAATTCACAGTGTCACACACAGAGAACACAGTGTGATCACAGTGTGACCATACAGTGTATACACCGTATGGACACTATGTGAACACACTGTGTTCACACAGAAGTTCCACACTGTGGTGACTGGGGGGAATTTTCATAAGGGATCTTCCGCTGGGCCTACCATGCCGATGCCGAGCTTAGCCTGGACACCCAATCGTCATGAGCAGAACGACGCCACAGAGCTCCCGGTCTCATCAGTGCCAGGCGACTTCCCTTTATATTTGATTGCCGTTTAGCCCTGATTTGATTTATCTAATTTCGCTCCCCAATCCAAAATAAAGTGGATAGCAAAGCTATCCTGCCGACTACGCCAAGTGTAACCGGGGAGAGTGGAATTGATTAGTTTAAAATGTGGCACTCTCCTTTCAACCGAGTGGTTCCACTATAAAAATGATTTGGATAGAGCGAAGTTTTCTGTTGTCTCAATAATATGAAATGTTTTATTTATAGTACAAGCAGAGACAAAATATATACAAATGATCAGGTACAGTATTTACAAAAAAAATTATATTGGAAACTTTGGTGAGTATATAAAAACAGAATTTTGTTGGGTATATAAAAACGACAGTCAAATAGGGAAATAGGCTAATGAAGTCGCTCCAAGGATATCTGAAATGCATAAAAACAATAAATGTCTAATGAATTATGGGAATAACTTCCAGATCCAAATACATTAGTAACGATATTTAATTCAAAGAAATTTGGGAAAAACTGGTTTCCTTATTTGTAAATCAAAGAAAACTTTTTTATAAATACATCAGTCAGTGAACAGAATGTTGCATAAAAATGACTTTTACATAAAAAAGATTCAGGCATAAACAGCTTCAGGCATAAAAGAGTTAAATAACACACATGGGATTTACTCACTACTTGGGATGATCTACGTTCATGTCTTCTCCGTGCTCGGTGTTAAAAATGATGTCGAAGCAGCAAAAAATATTGCAAAATGCAATGCCGGCAACGCCGGATATAAAATTATGTTGCTGCTATCGGGGAGCCGCACCCAAAACTTGCAGAAAAAGTGGAGAGTGCAATGCTCGCTGTAAATGCTGGTCGCAAAGCAGGAGCAGAACCAGGCAGATAGATTTCAACCCAAAGCAGAGTTGGAACGGAATCAACAATATTTTGGATCTAGCCCTACAAGAAAACCATACGAAAACGCCCGGAATGTCAGTTATTCCTCTTAAACAAAGCGCGGTGGAATGCAAAACTCGCATGCTCGCTACGCCCATCGCATAGTTGAGCAAAATTCTAGAAGCGCGCGCTGTAAAAAAAAGTTTAGTTGGCCGCGAGAGGGCGCTAGGCAAAAAACATGATCGCAATGGCTGCTCACATGTAAAATGACACAAACACGAAGTTACAAAAGTTATGAAATGAATGCTGGAGTACATGGAGTAAGGAACCTGTCGGGTAAAAGTAAGTTCTGAAACCCGACCTTGTTACAATGTGAAACTGGAAAATTGATTCAGACCAGCATGACGGTCTTCATCAACCGTTTGAAACCGGCCATGTGACGGGCTCTCGACCAATAGGAATGGGTGAATTATTTTTGAAAGCATCTTGATGTTTGTAACAGCTCGTCAATTGAAGGGAGTGAAACAAATGCCACGCCTCTGACGGATAGGGTAGCTCTCTCCTATGTTGCACAAGGGACAGGGACCCCCCCCCCCCTCCCTGACGAAATGCAAAAATGTGTTGTATTTTAAGAGAGGAAAGAAACGAATGACAGCATAGCAGCACCTCAAATCCGGTACTTGTTCTAGCCAATCCTGCTTTAAAGATAAAAAATGTCTGCGACTGAAAAACAAATAGACCACATATTCTTTAATACCTATTAAATTTTTACCATTGGAGTCCATTCTGAAAAACATGCCGAAAACCTCATACAATTACATATAATTTATTCTAAAATGTACACTAGATTCAAAACACTACCGTCTTCCAATATTGTTCATGTTTTTCCAACTTTCATACTGCCAGAAAAAAAATGGGAATTGAAAGAGAAACCAACACGGTTCTAAATAGTGAAACTGGAGCTAGACAACTCAGAGTGCACACCATTAAACATTTTAATTAATTAAAATAGTTCATTTTAGTCAATGCTTCGATTGAATGAATAACTCTCTCAATCGTCTTGTCCCTCAATTCAGTCTGGTGGAGTAAATTTACATTTGAATAAAGTGATATTTCACTCTTGGCCAAAGTGCAGTAGCGCGATGGTCATTACCCATAACCCATTTCGAATCTTGTTTTTATTTACCCGTTGACTGTCATTTTGAACTCTTGCATGTTGTAGTTCTGGGTCGTGTTAGTGACTGCTGTCTGGATAAGACAATCATACTGTTCGTTACCTGGACGGCAATCATCGTACAGATCGTCCGGCGGAAAAGCTTGTACTTAAAACAATAGATGATCGGGTTGAGGCAACAGTTGCAGGCTGTCATTTTGGTTCCGATGACATTAACAGGTCCCTTGTCTTCCAAATCGATCCAACCAATGTTGAACATGAAGTAGGTGACCTGGCTGGGAGTCCAACAGACAATGAATGTCACAAAGACAATGACCAGACTTTCGAACATGTCCCTTCTTACCCTGAGAAGCTGATGCTGCTTATGCATCTGCTCCGCCCGACCCACCTCTGATGTCGTTATATGGTCCTGGTCAACGATGGTAGTTTTCAGGGACATGGGTTTTGTTTGACGCTTCAGCGTCCTTGCGATGCGTATGTAACAGAAGAGCAAAATCACGGTCGGAAGGAAGAACTGGAAGCAGATATAAGCGGGCCCATTACCTTGGAGGATTGGAAGTTTCGGAAGACACACGTATGGCCGTCGACGACGCTGTAAAGGAAGAACGAGTAGGATTTGATGAACGTGACAAGCAGCTACATGATTGCTATCGTTGCTGCTACTCCCTTGCGGGAATGAATCAGCCGAAAGCGGAGGGGTTTAACGATTTTGATGTACCTGCCCAGAGTCAAGGCGAGGAGGTTGTAGGTGGACGCGACGAAGAGCAGAAAGAGGGTGACATCCCCGATCCACACACGGCACAGCAGCTCACCGCCGAACGTCTGTGGTACCTGGGCGGGGACGGGGATTGTTATCGTCGCTGATAAGTTTTTTTCTTATTGATAAGTTAACCAGTGTAATTTGAATGGAACGTTCATCGTCTGGTTCTTTTATGTGGCTTAATTTACAATTCAGATTGACTTAATTTGAATAGTATGTCTTCCATGTGTTCTTTTGTCGTCTTAATATATTATTATTCATCTTTGCCTAATTTGCATGGAATGTCGTGTCACATGGCATTGCTCCACCAATGGCATGGCAGAATACGCTTATCACGTGTAGTATGGCTATTTAAGCGTGGGAATTTCCAATACGCTTCAGTCTTCGTCACGTCGCCGAAAGCTGTGAAGACTGTAAGTTTCGTTCTTAT